CCTCTGTGTATTCAGCCGTGGCTCTATCTACCTAGCTGTCTGCATACTCTATCTTTCTTCTACTCCCTCAAGAAGACAAAGCTTTCTTATATCTCTTCTCACGGTACCTTCCTTCATACGCACCATCACAGTTCTTACTAAATCGTCTTCGTCCTTCTCGCATGTTTCGATCACTCCCAAAGGCCAGGAACCACGTGGTGTTTTTTCAGAGGCCACAATCACCACATCTCCCTCCTTGAAATTTCTTTTCCTTCCCAACCACTTCTGACGAGTTTGCAAGCATGGTAGATACTCTTTCATCCATCGGCGCCAAAATACGTCAGCTAAGTAATTAACTTGTTTCCATCCTTTCTGCACGCGACAGACCGGTAAAGGGGCCATCATCTGCTGACCCAGTGCAGCTTTCAATCGTCGGCACTCTATGCACTTTCTTATCACCCGTTTGACCGCACTGATCCCCTTAATTATCCAATAGTTTCTTCGTAGAGTGGCCAGGACTTGCGAAGTACCAGTATGTCCTTCTATAATATGATAATGCCTTATGATCAGCTCAGTCACGAAGTGATGTCTGGGGAGGATAACCGGATGCTTAAAAGTAAGTGGATAGTCGGAATAGTTCAACCTCCCACCGACGCAGACCAATCCATCCACAAGTATAGGTGACAACCTTTGCAATTCACCTTCTTCAGTCTCACAACTACCCTTTTCTCGGAGTTCCTTTATTAATTCTCCATATACCTCCTGTTGTACCATACATAATACTTTATGTCTAGCAGCTTCCAGTTCATCGGCTGTTAGATAGCCAACATTCAGTGACACACCTTGGCGACGCGAATACATAACGGATATGTAGACCACATATCTCTTAAGCCATGCCACAGCTTTAATCAGCCTCACCCAGTCCGAATGATACGCCAAAATCGGATCAGCAGTGAGCTCAGTAACGTTTGTGTTTGTTCGGACCGACCTCTTCAATTCGACATTTTTCGGTGGTTCCTTCCAGCAGAGGTCTGTGGTACTTGAAAACTGTCGGGTTCCCAGAAAAGAGGGGCCCTGAATCCAAGACGCTAATTCACACGCTTTTCGTATGCCTCTTGATGTCCAATCTGCGGGATTCTCTTCAGATTTAACGTACCCCCACTGATTTGGGGATGAATACTGGTGAATAATGGCTAGACGGTTGGCCACAAACGTACTATACCGACTCTCTGTATTTCTAATATAGTACAAAACAATCATAGAATCTGTCCAAAAATAAGTCTTGTCAAAGCTATTTGGGAGGTTCTTCCTCAAAATTTCACTCATTCGTGCACTCAATACTGCCGCAGCTAACTCTAATCTCGGCACTGTCACCGTTTTCAGAGGGGCAACCCGGGATTTGCTATAAAGCAGTATGCTGTAGGGTGGCGTGTTTTTTGGAACGTTCCACGAATAAGCCACCGCTCCATAACCAGATTCAGAGGCATCGCAAAATAAGTGCAACTCAATCTTACTCATCTCACTCTTATCCTCCTTCTTGATACTTCTGGGTACGGAGATTTGCCCAAGATTCTTCATGAACCTCATCCAATCCATCCATAGGGATAGGTCATTGGAACTCAGGGGTGTATCCCAACCAGCATGAGATTTGCAAAGATTCTGCAATAGCTGCTTGGCCGGAAGACAAACTGGGGCGATGAGGCCTAGTGGGTCAAAAAGAGCTGAGACGGTGGATAGTAGTCCTCTCTTCGTGAAGGGTTTTTCGACGGGTTCAAATCGGAACTTAAAAACATCATGCATGGTGTCCCATTCCAAACCTAGGGCCCTGTGGATTGAGCCTTGACTAACACGTAAGTCGACTGAGTTCTCTGTGTGGCTCAGACCAGGAAGAACTACTCTCACTGCCTCTGAATTAGTCACCCACTTCTTCAATTTAAAGCCACCACGTAACAACAACTCAGTGGACTGTTTTACGAACGTTTTTGCCTCACCTGGGCTTGCAAAGGACACTAGGCAATCATCAACATAAAAGTTATGCTTCACTGCTTCCACCACATAGCTATCATAATCGTTGGCATACGTCTCGGCAGTCTTGGCCATTGCAAAATACGCACAAAACGGTGAGGACACTGCACCGAATGGGTGTGACGTCATTTGATATTCAATAGGTTCCTTCGAGAAATCACCCTGAGGCCACCATAGGAACCGCAGAGCACCTCGGTCAAACTCTGGGACTTTCACCTGCATAAACATTTCTTCCACATCGGACGTCAGGGCAATCAGTTCTTTGCGAAAACGCAATAATATTCCAACCAAGTTCGCTGTCGTGTCTGGTCCCTGATACAGGAAGTCATTTAAAGAAGTTCTGGACAGTTTGGCAGCGCAGTCCAGCACAACTCTTACCTTCCCCGGTTTCTTGGGGTTAAATACGGCATGATGCGGCAAATACCATCGTGGGCGGTAGCTGGGATTAAGCTGGGGCTCAGGAGCTACTGCTGCATATCCCTTTCTGATGGTCTCTTCCATGTCACCTTCCCCGCCCGGAATTGACTCAAGGAACACCTTGCGATTGCCAGGTACAGCAGTGACGGGTTGTTGAGTACTGTAGCGGCCAGAATCCAATAATCTTGGCCTGAACGCGGGAAATAGCTAGGCGGTGCCAACTGACGTGAATCTGACTAGTTCCTGCGTTCTACTGTATAGCTTCCTAACTTCCGCGAGTGACGCACAGTCAAAGGTTGGATCGAAATATCAAAACACGGTTTGTAGTAATTCAATAGTAGATTCGTAACAAAATCTGTGGTACTATCAAAGCAACAATAAGTTATGTCAAATTACAAAAATACCTCAACAGTGCCGTTGGGTAACTATACAGTCCAAAACGTTCTCGGGTACAAATACGTACTACACGGTAAAACTGGTTAAAAAAATACAACTGTTAAATACCTGTCGGTCAATAGAATATTCCCGGCAAAAGGGATCAAAACTCTGCCTACAGGAATCAAATCAACAAACAAACGTTTCCAGTAGACAGTCAAAAGACAAACAGTCAAATCACTGCACAACCGTAAGTTGAACCACAACAAAATGTCGTGCGCAGTAAAAACATCACCTTATCAACAGTCCAGCGTCACATAATAGGAAAGTGAAACACTCATAATAAGTCTCAAACATACAAAGGCAAATACCGAGTGTAAAGTCAAATAAGACAGTTAAACAAGCAAATAACATTACACCGGCGAGGGTCAAAGTACACCATCCGTAACGAGGGTAAAAATGTTAAAATAAATGTCAATACAATCAAATAGGGTGATCGGGAGGGATTTTCAGATCATTTTCCTTTACAGACTACCTACTACGTTTGCTGACAGCAACTCGGAAAAAGCTCCACCAGCAGTCATTACTCCATATACCAAAGACAGAGTAGAGGTCTTTGACAGGTCCGTAATTTTCCAGAGTGGACGAAAGTGGAAACCTAGAACCAAGTAAACGTTTAAAACATGACCTTGGCAAGGCACAAAGTTTGATAAACCAGCTTTTACCAGAAAACATGTCAGGAGTCACCCTGCTCAAGATGTACAGAGTGGGAAAACAGGGAGCAGCCGTTACTGAGGCTAAGTTTCGGCTACTTAAAGTTTTGTTCAAGTCAGTATATGGGAGAAATCAATTCTGAAGAATGCTCACCGACTTCAAGGATCTAGAGTGCTCGTGCTAAAGGATTTGGCTCTCGCTGATCGAATCAAAAAATGAGAAGCAGCAGCGCAACTGAAGTCTAGATAAGCAGCCGGAGAGCATGATCTGAAAGTAATGGGTTTTCGTGTAGTGAGGTTTCGGCAACAAATGATGCCGAAGCGTCTATGGATAGGACGGAAACTCACTTAGATAGTTTCGTTGTCTCGTACACAAATGTACGTAGTGTCTTCAAATCGTGGACTGAGATTAGTAGACTAACAACAAAAGCACCACGTAATTCGCTTGACCACAAGTCAGTGGAGACATCAATTTCCCTAACCCTAATACGGCACACTAGGACACCAACCAGATGTGATCATAAGCATGCTCCACCAGTTCTAGACCAAGTATTCTCACATACAGATGACGTATGCCTCATCCAGCACCTGGCAACCCTCGGCAAAAGTGGTCATCTTCAGAATCGCAGTAGACTTCTTATACCAGGCCGATGCCCCAGCCAAACCCAACATATGGAAAGTAAATATGGAAGACATTAACCTGGCAGCCTCTTCGGAGGACTGGACAGTCATTCCAGAAGCCTCACCTGAAGACGCGTGGTGCTCCTTCAAACAGTTATATGAACGAGCGGCCGGCCGTTCATTCAGTGGACATTCCCGAGGGGACAGGAACGCCGTCCTCCGCGGATAAACCACGAAATCCGAATCTTGCTGCGATGTAAGAAAACGTATTGAAGTCTTGCCACCCACCTGGGTACACCCGAAGTGGTGAAACATTACAACGAAGCTCGCAATAAATGTGTCGCTGCTATCCACCAGTCTCGAACATCCTTTGAAGTACGTCTTACCCAGGTTGCCTTGGCCGACGGTACTATAAACATGTTAACTGATGTCAAAATGACCGTCTGTCTGACGAAACACGGAACTATACCGCCAGGTTAACTATCTACGTCACATGTAACGCAAACGTCGAATATTGTATGATTTTTGTATCACTTTATTGTGGAAAAAGAATGGTGAGTGGAGACAACCGAAGCTCACAAGCAATCTGTATTTACAGAAATAAATAATTCCCGTTCGCCACATGGGGCTGAGGTTAAGCAGAATAAAACACACCGAAATCGAGATCATGTCTCCGCAGCACCACCATCTACGAGGGTAAACATATGAGTCATTCGCCTAAATTCCTTATTCCTAAGGTTTTCTAAATCTTTTTACCAACAATCTAACTACTTAATTTTACTCATTTGTGCTCCGTGATAATGACTTGAAGTTCAGACATTACTTAAATACATGGAAGGTGATCAGTGTTTAAGCTGATCAACTTTTGTTATTCGAAGCAGTTTCATCTTAGGTTTCAAGGTCTACTGTCTGTGATGCATTATCGCTAAAATGGTTTATGATTGCGTCCTAATTTGCATACTTTTCCTGTCTACATATTCGGTAGGATGTATTTCAGACCTATCCAAAAATGTACGTTTATTGTCGATACTTATGTCACTCAAGCCTGTGGAACAGTAAATTAAAAAATTATGTGCAAGTTATATTATAATGCAACTAAGTATACTCAGTACAAAATAAGTTTTCACTGACTTTGGTTTCTAAAGTCTGAGACTGTAGTAGTCTTATTCCGAATTCATGCTACGCCATGATTCATTGTGGTGCAGAATTCTGGTGGTATTTCTATAAGTCTGTGGGTCATATTAATTCTGGCCGGTATCATGGTTCTCAACTTAGTTTATCTCTTGAACTATTTGAGCTTTTTTACATCACTTGGTGACTCAAGACCTAGAAGGGGGAGCTCGGAAACCACAAGTTTCCTCTACTCGCACTGCTGATGTTTGATGTTGGACTTTATGAGTAAAAAATATTTTATTCATTTGAATTTTACGTCATAGTAAGTAAAGTATATGCCCACCAATGGATGGAAAAAAATCAGCACTTCAGGAAATATCGTTTTGTTTGATATAACTTTATATCAAGAAATTTTTTCCCTCTTTGAGAATATTATACTTTGGGTTAGATTGAGAACATTTTTTTATGTGTGTGAAGTGATTCATATAGATATTCTAGTTCCCAGTGACGTATCTGCAGCACAGTTAAGATTCATCTAGCAAAGATAGCTGTGATAGATTTTGTCTAGGCATGTAAAAGTTATTTATAACTGTGATTTTCAAAAGTATTTTGTCATTTGTAACACTTTCTTTATATGCTGTCATACGTGGGTGTATATAACTCCAGAGTTTCCAAGCTTAGGTTTGGTGATTTCAAAATCAGCTGCATGTTTAGGTAGTGTAGGAGGCTGGTTGTGCTGTTATTACGTAATGCTTAACCATCCCTACTTAACTCGATGTACCTGTTTGATCAGTACCTTACCTAACGTGTAAGTGCTGATAACGAAACATAAATTAAAAAGACTGTTATATAGGAATGCATTCGGAATAGCAGTATATTTAAATAGAATGAAGATTAAGGTGATTTGTATGAAAACGTTTGTCCAACTTATGTAGTTATTATGGTTAATCTAAGGACTCTGAGGATGTTTGTGTTAACCAGCATAAACGGAACGTTAAATGGCGTCGAATCCTGGTCAGTTGCATACTCGTTAAAAAAATTTTGAAGCACCTACAGCATCCGAAAGTGAGCTGGGAGTTTATTATTATTTGTCCCTTGGGTTCCTAGTGGAACATAGGACTTCAGTAGCACGTCGCCATTTCACTCTGTTCTCTACAGTCTTTTCAACCTGACTCCACCACTGCCCACAAGCTTTCGTTTCTTCCTCCTCCAATCACTCTCGGATGCCCAACCCGTCGTTTTTCATTTGGCTTCCATTTTAGAACCTGGCCTGGTGCGTGGTGTCCCCCGAACGATCTCAGTGCATGTCCAATCCATCTCCACTTTCTTCTGCATATTTTTTGGGCGACGGGTTCTTGGTTGTTGCGTTGCCAGCCAGAGTGAATTCCTTGTTGCTTATTCTCTCTGGCCTTCTGATCTTCAGTCTCAGAATCGAGTGAGCGTAGATGGCAGCTGTTCATGTATATTTGTAGTTTGTTGGAAATGCTTTTCGTAACGCGCCAAGTCTCTCAACCATCACATAGAAGCATTGACTTGACTGAATTAGTATTGAAAATCCGGATCTTGTTCACGTTTTGTGCTTTTAAGATTTGTTCTTCGTCGGGATTTGCTATCGCTAGGCCTCACCAATTTAGGAATTGTCCTGGTGCGAACTTGACAGACGCGAAGGCCAATCACTAATTATTCGAACTTGTTATATACCCACGAATACAAGACCAAGAAAGAACACAATAGCGTAGTCGGATGGAATAGTATATTTGCTAGGTCATGCCAAGATACCGATGCGTTCCAACTAATTGGCTAGAGGGTTGATTACGAGTATTGCAACATAACACTACAGCGTGGCAAATGGCGAGGATGCTTGACTAGATGCCTTCAGCTTAGCGAGTCCCGTTACACTACCGAGGTCAGCATCAATGTTGAATGTAGTCCAACTCTAGACTATTGATTCTGGAGAAGTGTTGCACTACATGCTGATTGGAATGCAGTGCAGTAGATCTCCACATTGATTTCAGGTTAATGAAGACGTGTTTTGCTGTATTTCTGATCCTGGTTTTGACATCCTTATCTGTGCCCCCGCCACCTGTAGTTGAAATGATGCTGCCTTGCCTAGGTAGGTGAAAGAGACAACATCCTTTAGGTTTCTCCCATTGATGGTGATTGGTGCTCGTTGGTGGTGGTGGTTGGGTATCTTCATCACCCTTGTCTCCTCTACGTTCACCTAAAGGAAGTCCCGTCTTCGCAGCCCTGCATCTTCTGCCAACTTGTCAGTCTTCGCCTGTAGATCCTCGAGTTTGTGTGACAAGATTTTAGACATAAATCATCATCGTTGGTGAAATCCAATCTTCTGGGGTCTTTTCATCGTTCCAGTCAGCGTACGCCCATCTTTTCGCTCCTCACAGTTTGTTGCATAATCCAATCCAGTCCAGTCGACCACAATCAGGCAGATCATGAGTGATAGTAGGCGGCAACCTTGTCTTACTCCTGTCTTCACTTCGCTTCAAAGTCATCACTGAGCTTTCCATTGTGAATCACTTGGCATGTAGCCTCGTCATATAACATACAGCTACTGAATGAGGTTGAAAAGGTTTGTGGCACTAAAACCATAGTGTTGAAGCATCTGCCCAATTACTTCTGGGTCGACGCTGTCGAAGGCCTTTTCAGAATCGATGAAGTTGAGGTAGGGAGTTAACTGCCATTCTATGCTCTGTTGCATGATGATGCGTACGTAACGTTGCAATTCGATCTGCACATGATTTGTTCTTCGTGAATCCAGCCTGTGTCCGGTGGTAATTTTGAATCTAGAGCACCTTTTTGTCTCTCCAGGATTACTAAGCTTAACATTTTGCTTGGGGTGGGCAGGAGCATGATTCCGCGCCAGTTTTTGCAAACTCTTAGGTCCGCCGTGTTTGGGAGTTTGACAAGGTAGCCCTTCTTCCAACCACCAGGTACCTTCCCTTCCTTGCAAATCTTCTGCAAGAGTGGTGTGAGCATGTCCGCCGTTGTCTCTGCGTCTGTTTTCAGAGCTTCTGGGGGAATTCCATCTGGTCCTGCTACTTTCCTGGATTTCAGCTATTTTATGGCGTTCAGGACTTTGGCTTTTGTCGGAGGGCTTGTGTTCACTAGAGGTTTAATTAGTTAATATTTAGTTAGTTCAATTTAACCTACTTATTTTGTCCCTGGTTTTATTCGAGGCCAGGAAGTGCACTACATGCTATCCCTCTCCTAGAAGGATCTCGGACACTGGCAACCTTCGATTTAGGAAGTGACTACGAGGTGGACATACAACACCTTTCCATATTGGTGATGAAGTAGTTGACGTGTTGTTCCTCGAAGCTAGTGCATCTGTGCTTACCTACGAAGTAAGAGAAGTTTGCGTGTAGACACAATTCTTCTAGTGATGGTAGATGACCCGAAATTTCCATCTACGTTTCCTTAACGAATCTTGAGCTTCATGGGGAAATGTACAAGGGGAGATGGGTACAAGAAACAGGTGAACGATCGAATCAGTATTGTCCATATCTAACTGTATCAGATAATACGCGTTTTTAATGGTATAAAATGAGGAAAACACAATGTTAGTATAGGATTAAAACTGCAAGACACGCATAAATATGAAGCGATTTACATAAGATTACAATGACACCAAGGTGCATTTTTGTGTATTTATTATTTATTAATTTATTTTGGAACACTCTTAAAACACTTTTCGTAATTATATAAAATAGTTAGCAAACACGGAGGTAAGAGCGTATTAGCACTAATCAGAATTGTCCAGACCTCAAATTCTTAGAGAGCTAAGTGATGACGTCTGTTAGGCGTTTGGGCCAGTATACACGTCGATCGATGGTGCTTTGTCACCACTGCCAGTGATTTACTAGCTGGCAGAATCACTTGTTTTCGAAACAAAAAGTCTTCCTTAGTTTTCTGCTAAAGTGGTTGTGCTGATGATGCTAGTGCAGGGTGACTTGGATCGTCATCAATATAAGCTGCCTTTAGGCAGTCGACAATTATGACGTTTCTCCATCTTAATCTACCGATGACAGAAAACTTCTGCTTTCTGCTCACAACCTTGAAAGGTTCATCGTAGGGTGGTTGTAAAGGTTTCTGTACAGCATCACGACGTACGAAGAGGTGTGTGCAATCTTGAAGTCTTTTATTCAACTGTACCTGTGTACAATGGATTCGTGTGGATGGGGTTTTGGAGACGTCGCATGTGAAGTTTCAGGGTTTACGCATAAACGTGGATATTGGTAGCAGTTGGGTCGCTACAATCTGGAACAACTAGTTCACTGGGTAAACGTAGGTTACTTTCGTAAATCAACTCGGCAGGAGTACACTGTATATCCATACTGAGTGTCGAACGAATGCTGAGAAGAACTAATGACAGAGGTTCATTCCATTTAACATTGGCGACCATCATTAGTGAATGCTTATGATACAGATGAAAGCGTTCGATCAAACTATTAGAAGCTGGGTGATATTCCCGTGGTACGAATGCGTTTGCATCCCAACAGGTTCATCAGCTTCTGGAAGGTAACAGATTCAAATTGTTGCCTCCTGTGGGTTGTCCCGGTAGAAGTGCGTTCAAACTAAGAAACATATTTTCGTAGAATACTCGACTGACTTTTAACGGTTGTATCTGATAATGGGATGGCTTCTGGCCAGCGGGTGAGCCTATCGATACATTTTAGCAGGTAGAATAACCGTTGGCAGATGGAAGTGGACCAGCAATGTCTAGTTGGAGATAGGTAAGCCGTGAGTCTGGCTTGGCGAAAGATCCAAGTCGATTCACCTTGTAACGTTGGCACTGAATGTATGACCGTGTCCATTTTCAAACGTCACGGTTGATACCTAGCCATACAAGCCTAGCAGGTCTCAGTTTGTCCGTAGCACGT